TTTTTTTTTTTTAATGTCTTAAGCATGACCAAAATAAGCAAAATAATTATGTCACTGGAATGTGAATGTGTACAGGTCTACAACATGTCCAACACATCCCAAGCAATCTAGTCCCATTAAATATTCAAGCTGCCCAGGATACAAGATCATTCCCAGCAAATGGAATAGAAACAAACAGTGAATCTTGAGCAGCCAGAAGAATGCAATATCTACAGCCCCCAACTAAAAAGCAATAATAATATTTTTTCTCACTGTTATAACTAAGTACAACTATGAAACAACACGCATTTCTGAAAATACTAAAAGAATATTTGTAATCTGTTTCCAGTCTTTATTTTACCAAGATTTATATTAATTAAATGACATAAATTTTGAATTAAAGTATGCATTTAAGTGGTAAGGCGCAATTCAGCAAAGACATCGGCCAATACCAAATTAGTCATGAAAGTCATTGGCCATATCAGATGGAGAAATACCAACACAAGTTCAACGAAATTACATTAGATCGAAAAATAAAAATGAATTCTCATACCATAAAACCATTCTCTTTTTTATTTTCCATTTACAGCATTCAACTCCTCCCATAGATCATAGATAAGCAAAAACATGTAAACAAGCCTTTTCAATGAAAGGCTGCAGTGGGAAGTCATAAAAATGCTAGTGCAACAAGGCACATTTTCCATCTTCAACCACTAATGACCATATAAACACATAAATATATTTCCCATTAAATATTTCTCGTATGAGAAATCACGAACTTCAAAACTTAAACTTCTACGTATCTAAGACCAAACTTTTTTAATGTTTGGTACCATAGCCACAGAACTTCAACATATACATGCCTCTAAAACCGTGCACATAATCAATTGAGTAAAACTCTCACAATAACATAGATTTCATTTAAAAAAAAAAAAAATTCCATTCGGAAAATTTTGATGGTGTGTATATGCCTAAAAGACCACTCAACACTATAACTAAAAATCGATGCTGAACTATCCTTCATTTTTTTATAAGAAAAGTTCAAGTGCAAGGTATGCTCTCTAATACGCGAATAAATAAAGCATAGCAAATTCTACCACAAAGAGAACCCAGCAATACTAACCATAGTCACAAGTCACCAACAGTTCTATCTGTTGGCTTAATAGCCCTCGAATTCCTTAGCTTAATTAATGTAGTTCACCAGTATCTTATACTATATTAAAGAAGGATAGCTGCATAGTATTCCCGCCTAAGATGC